TACAAGGTAGAAGATGAAAAAAGCGCTGTAATACACTTGGGAAATGTAGAAAAGCACAGCTTCCTTCCAGCTACAGGAAGTCAGGAAAGAATTTATGGAGACAGCATTTGATCTTCACTTTCAAGAATAGGTAGACTCAGGCCATGAGGAAATAGATGGCAAAGAAGTTAAGTACACAGAAAATAATGAGAAGTGCAGGGATATAAAAGGAAACATCAAGTAGTTTATTAATGATCAGGCAAATTAAACTACTTGAAACCCCACAGAGTCCAGCATAGCAATTAACCCACTACCTTTATTTTTTTACTGTTTTACCATACGAGGTACTTTATTCTCAGCATTAATAAGATTCCATATCTAGGTCACAAATATCAATCAACACATTAACAAACAGACTGGAATGGTATAAAATGTCCTAATTCAAACATGCTTAGCACATACTCAAAGGGCTGATTCATGATAGTTTACATAAAAATTAAATATAGTCATTAGAATAATGAAAAGTGTAAAATGTAATAAATGTATTCTTCAACTCATGATAAATATAGAAACCTTCCAATTATGGAATTATAAAATAACTCTTAGGGATCATGTTGAGATATGGTCAATAATCAAAATACATAAGAAATATACCCTATGTCGTAGTTAATTTACAAAATCATTCAATTAATCAAAAAATTATCAAGAAAAAGGGGTAAAGCAACTTTTCCCTATGGTGGTATGAAGAGATCAGAGAACTGTTATCCTAAAAATAAGTTCTAAAACTGGACAAAATTAGAAAACATCATTTCATGGTGCTGGATAATCACTAAAGACAAAAAACAGAGAGGCACACTCAACAGGAACTGAAACTTCAGGTAAGAACACCAGGAGTCAGCCTTCTAGTCACAGGCTATTCCTATTCTCCCTACCCCTCCCTAAAGAAGTTTGACCAGGCCAGGGTCTGCAGTGAAAACCAGTAGCTTTGCTGCCAAAGGGAACTGAATTGATCTCGAGCAAAAGGCCAAGAGGCAATGTCAGTAAAAATAGCAAATTCAGTAGGAAACGAACAGGAAAACCTACAGGTCTGGTAGCATGAGGCTGCTTTCCCCATTAAAGTATATTCATTTTCTTTCTTTTTTTTTAAATATATATCTTTATTGATTTCAGAGAGAGGAAAGGAGAGGGAGAGAGAGAGAGATGGAAACATCAATGCTGAGAGTCATTGATCGGCTGCAGCCCGCAACCCGGGCATGTGCCCTGGCCGGGAATCGAACCCCGATCGCTTGGATCCTAGGTCGACGCTCAACCGCTGATCCACGCCCGACTGGGCAAGTATATTCATTTTCTATTGATGCTGTAATGAATTAACACAAACTTGGCAGCTTACAGCATCACAAATTTACTATCTTACAATACGGTACTTCAGAAATCCAAAATAAGTCTCACGGGGCTAGAATCAAAGTGCCAGCAGAGCTGCAATCCTTTTGGAAGCTTTCAGAAGAACTCATTTCCTTGCTTTTCCAGCTTCTAGAGGCTGCCCACATTCCTTGGCTTGCGGTCCCCTTCCTCCACTTTCCAAGTCAGAAATGCTGCATCTCTCCAGTCATTCTCTCATAGGCACTTCTCCCTCTCAACTCCGACTCCTCTTCTGCCTCCCTCTTATACTTTCAAGGGCCTTTGTGATTACACAGATAATCCAGATTAATTTTCCTGTCTTAAGGTCAGCTGATTACCAACCTTAATTCCATCTGCAACTTTAATTTTGTCTTGTCATGTAGCCTAACATGCCCACAATACCACACTCTCTATATTTGATAAAACAACCAAACAGGAAATAAGTTAAGAATGACAGCCTTATCAACTAATTTAATCTAATGAACATTTATAGAATACTCCACCCTAAAATAGCTATACATTCTTTTCAAGAACTTAAGAAACATTCTCCAGGATAGATCAAATGCTATACCATAAACTTAAAAATATCTTCAAATGAATGAAAACAAAAGCACATGTCCAAATGTATTGTATGCAGCTAAGAGGAAAAATTATACCTTTAAAAAATGCTTCTACTGCCCTAGCCAGTTTGGCTCAATGGTTAGAGCATCGGCCCAGGGACTGAAGGGTCCCGGGTTCAATTTTGACCAAGGGCACGTGCCTCAGTTGCAGGCTTGATCCCTGGCCCCTGTCAGGGCATGTGTGGGAGGCAACCAATTGATGTGTCTCACTCACATTGATGTTTCTCTTTCTTTCCCCCTGCCCCTCTGAAAACAACGGAAAAAATATCCTCGGGTAAGGATGAAAAATAAATAAAATAAAAAGAAAATAAATTTTAAAAATGCTTCTACTGAAAAAGAACAAAAAACTCAAATCAATAATCTAAGTCCTTAATAAATAGAGAAAGAATAGAAAATAAAAATAAAGCAGAATAGAAAAACAATGATCAGAACACAAATAAAATAAACAGAAAAACAATACAGAAAGTAAATGAAACCAAATGTTGGTTCTTTAAAAAGATCAATAAAATTGATAAATCTTTAGCCAAACTAACCAAGACAAAAAGAAATACACAAATTACCAAAAACAGGAATGAAACATTACCAATCCTACAGATACGGAAAGAATTATGGAGAATGTTAACTTTATGCCAACAAATTAGACAACTTAGGTGAAATGGGAAAATACCAACAAAGACAAAATAGCCGGGGCTGAGCATGAGTGTCTCGACCTAGATCCAGACGATCGCAGTTCAATTCCCGGTCAGGGCACATGCCCGGGTTGTGGGCTTGATCCCCAGTGGGGGGCGTGCAGGAGGCAGTCAATCAATGACACTCTCATCATTGATGTTTCTCTCTCTCTCTCTCTCCCCACCCTCCCTTCCTCTCTCTGAAATCAATAAAGATATACTAAAAAAAAAAGAAAGAAAAAGACAAAATAACCAAAACTAATGAAGAAAAAAAAATCTGAACAGAGCTATATAGAATTAAATTGATTTAGTAATTTAAAATCATCCAACACAGAAAGTCCAAGCATAGATGACTTTGCTGGTGAATTCTATCAAATATTTAAAGAAGAAATAATAACCACCATTCACAAACTATTTCAGAAAACAGTGGAGGAAAAACATTTCCCAGCTCATTCTATGAAGCTAAAAAAACACATCTCAAGAAAACTACACAGCAGTATCTCTCATGAATACAGATCCCAGAAATACTTAACAAAATATTAGCAAACAGGTTCCAGTAACATATAAAAAGGATTATTAACCAATACCAAATGGGATTTATACAGGAATGTAAGGTTGGCTTAACACCCCAAATCAATTACTGTAATACACCATATTAAGACTAATGAACAAAAGTGGCATGATCATCTCAAAAGACAAGAAAAACATCTGACACCTATTTATGACAAAAATTCTCAACAAACTAAAAGTAGAAGAAAATTTTCTCTATCTAAAAAAGAGTATTTAAAAGAAACTTATAACTAACATCATGCTTACTGGTAAAAGACTAGATACTATTCCCCTAAGATCAAAAACAAGGCGAGGATTTCTGCTCTCACCATATTTTATTCAACACTGTACTGGAATCTAACTAGTAAAATAAGGAGGGGGAAAAGCATCCAGATAGGAAACGAAAAAGCACATTTATCTTTATTTGCAGAAGATATAGTCAAGCATATAGAAAATACTATGGAAGCTACCAAAACCTAATAAAACTAATAAACAAGTCCAGCAAGGATACAGGATACAAGGTCAACATTTTAAAAAAATCAACTGACTTTCTGTAGCAAAAAGAAAATTAAAAGAAAAATTCCATTCACAATAGCACTAAAAAGAATAATATGCCCAGGAATAGATTTAACAAAAGGAGTACAAGATATGTACATTGAAAACTCCAAAACATTGCTGAGAGAAATTTAAAGAAGATCTAAATAAATGGAGAGGCATTTCATGACTCAGTATTTTTTAAATGGCATTTCTTCCCAAACTGAACCACAGGTTCAAGAAAACACAATTTCTATCAAAATTCCAATAGGTGTCTTTAGAGAAATTAACAAGATGATTCTAAAATTTATATGGACATACAAACTTTTGACTGAGAATTATCCAAAATAATTTTTAAAAGAAGATCATAGTTGGAGGACTTATACTACTCATTATCAAAACTTAATTATAAAGCTACTGTAATAAAGATAGGGTGATACTGGTGTAAGGACAGACATATAGATCAAAGGAAGAGAAGAGAAAATCCAAAAATAAACCCTTACATTTATGGTCAATTCATTTCAATAAAGGTGCCAAGGTAATCCAATGGGCAGAGTCTTTCTAATAAACAGCAACCAAATTTTAAAAATGTAGTATACCTATACAACAAAATATTATTCTGTCACAAAAAGGAACTAATTACTGATACATGCTACAGCATGGATGAACTTCAACAATATTATGCTAAAAAGAAGCCAGATATAAATGGAATCATGCAACTTTTATAAGAAATTTCTATAAATAGCAAATATCTACAGACAGAAAGCAAAGCAGTGGTAGCCTGAAGCTTGGACTAGAAGCAGCGAGTGACTGCAAACAGGCATGAAGAAACTTTTGGGGGGAGATGGAAATGTTCTAAAACTAGACTGTGGTGATCAGTTGTACAAATGTGTAAATGTACTGAAAATCAATGAAATGTACACTTACAGCAGGTGAGTTTTAGCAATGTAAATTATTCCTCTAGGAAGCTGCTCTTTTTTAAAGGGACAAACAGGAGTCCCCTCATCCCTGTAGTACACAAGTGAAGACTGAATGAGCTCCTATCAGGGATGCTAGAGTGGAAGTCTCCATGACCTTCATACTTGACCTCACTGTCCAACTAACAGCTTAGCCCCTTTTGACCCAAAGTGCTGGTTTATACATTTTTGTTCCTTTTCCCAGCTGCAATTCATATGGTTGTAAAAGAGAAAACATTTGTGAGTGCTCTTCCAAACATTTCACTAGCAAACATTGAGTACAGGATGTCTCTCACCTTTCGTCCCGTAAAGGCAGCTCGATGAAGCGGTGTGTCTCCCATGTCATTTAATACGTTTACTTCTGCACCAGCCTAGCAAATATGAAATCTTTAAACATCCTTCACATATTAAGAAATATACAAAGATAAATCAATTTCTTACAAATATATTAAGTATTTCAAAAATTAAAGTTGTTGTTAATGTTGATTGGTTGTCATCAGTATAAATAAATTCATTTCATAGTAAGAGTAAATAATAAACTTCCTGAAAGGTAAAAATCTACTTGATAGGTAGAAAAAGCTACTTTTCTTTAAAAATCTATACACCATCACTGAACTTTAGAAACAGTCATATTTTAAAAAGGCAAACCATTTCTCAATGAAATATCGTATTTTTGCCACCAATTTAATAAGTTTTCAGGGGAAAAAAGACGTCACCACTTAAATGTACACATCAATTTTAAGATGCAACCCAACTTCAGAAATATCAGTATGTGAAAAATTATTAATCACAAAACTGAGAAATATGTCTTAAATTATATGGTGCTCATTAAAAAATTCTGTAATTCTTAATTACTTAGGATGTACTTTGGTTATTTTTTAACTGCTATGCTCAAAAAACTGAAAATATACAGTATCTTCATGAATTCATATGTCCACTTTTGAAATTTTAGAAAGCCAATACTGTAAAAATCAAATGACTGAAAAAGATAGAATTTCAATTAATCAGGCTAACCGAATTCATGTATTTAGTAAAGAACAATTAGTGTCTTTGGTAATGAGCTATTGCTTTAAATAAACCGTATGGCTCAATTGGCCTCCCTAAGACTTTTATAATTTCCATAACAATATTTATTATATTCACTTAAAATTAAAGTCATAAATATACCTTTAACAGATCCTGGACCACTTGTCTATGTCCAAAATAGCACGCCAGATGAAGGGGCGCCCAGCCCAAATTAGACTTACTTCTTCCTAAAAATGGGGGAAAGGAGGTATTTTTATATATAATTAAGGTAATTTTACAATAAAATTAATTTCTCTGTAACAGACTACTTCAATACATTGGCCAATGGCTCTCTTTCACACTGCACTGCTGATGAGTGGGAGGCGAGAGACATGGAGTAAAAAGGGGAATGAGTGTAATGGATTAGAACTTACAAGACCCAGATTCTGATGCCACTTTTCCTAAGTCAATGTCCTCATTCCTAAAAGGCTGGAGGACACATGAGGGGTTGCATTCAAACTAAACGATCTTTAGTAGCTGCTGACTCTAAGGTTCTGAGTCTCTAACCATCTTCGCATCACCTTGCAAAGATGTGGTTCTCTTGGCACAGTATTTCATTAAAAAAGCCTCTCTTTGGAAGCCTGTAACATGGGAACTGTGCAATTGGTAAAGAATTCTTCCTGCGGCATTTGAAAAACTATTAGCTCTGCAAATTGTGACTGAAAATGGAGTCTTGACTTCAGATAAAATCTCAGGTAATGAGGATATTGGGTTACCAGAGCCCAACTAGATAACAAGAACCAAAATTAAAGGCAATGAAATGTGAGATCCTAGCAGTAGAGCTGAGAAGAGGTATAAAACAATACAGTGCTGCAAATTCAATTTAGAATGGAAACGAATTCAATTTAGAAAAGAAAAGGCGAGGGTGAGGGGGCACTATAGCTTAGAGTTGAGATAGCTCCAAAAGCTTCCCAGAATTCCAAACCAGGCTGGAGACAATACAGCCTATCAAATCCCAAAGTCAAGTCCCAGGGAGCACTCCTCAGAAGGAGTTGGAGCTTTAATGCCTGCCCTCAGCTTCTGGATTTTGGGTGCTGTGTCACCTCAGCCTCCAACCTCAGTGTACCCAGAACAGGCCCCTACCATCTCCCTGAGGGATTGCTACCACCAACTGTCCCTGTGATCATTTCCCACTCACCCAAATTCCCACATCTGCTGTCTCGCAAATGTGTGCCCTCTGGAACCACAGGCAATAAATCCTAGAGCCTCAGTCCATTTTATGGAACACTTCTACCTTCTCTCAACTGAAACCTAGCTGGTGCTGACAGTGATTCTCCTTTACCCCAGGGGGAACCTCCCCTCCATTTGCACACCCACTGCTGCTCACAGAAGTCATGCATCCCCCCTCAAAACCCAATGCCTCTTGGGTCAGTGACTTCACTCCCATTACAGCTCTGCCTTTGTGACTTCTGCCAACAAGCCATGGCTACAGCTCCCTCAAACGCCGTCTCTGCTGCCCTCTACCAGCCCCTCACCAACTAACTGAGCAACACACTCTCTCCCCTCCCGCAAATCCTGCCACCATCCTAGGGGTATCTACTACTATTCAGCATCCTGGAGCCTGTTTTTCAGCTTCCCGCATCTCTCACAAGCTGCGCCTCACATCTGTCGGATACCCATTCCGAGCCTGAATGTCATCATGACCTCTGAATTCATGAACAGGAAAAGCCCACTTTCCCCCAAACTCCCCACTTTCCAGCTTGTCACATAGGTACGCACTCAGATGTCTGTCAACTTCATCAGCCCTTCAGTGCTTAATTACTTTCCTGTATGTAAATACCCACATCTTCACTTCCTTCAATGAATCCAGCATATATTTCCTGATTCCTCACTTTGGCAGTATCTGCAATACCCTTGCTTTACTCTCTCTGTCACGGCAACCCAGGAAAATCCTAAAGCCTGATAAATACACCAGCGCAATTTTTCTATAACCACACCCAGGTCGTTAAGCGGTAGCAGAAAAAAAATAACAAAACTCTGTGGATTCGTGGCACCATAAATTCACTCATTTCATATCTTCTATATTTTCTCTTGGTCTTTGTCATCGTTTTGAGTCCTTTTTCACTTTTTCATTTTCTACTTTTTGTTCTCTCACATCTGATCTAGTGGGTCAATGTTTCCTTATTGATTTTTGTCTGGAAGATCTATCCAGTGAAGTCAGTAGGGTGTCAATCTCTCCCTTAAAGTCCTCTAGAAGTATTTTTTATAAACTTAGGTGCTTCTATATTGGGTGCATATATGTTTATCAGAGTTATATCCTCTTGTTGGATTGATCCCTTTAGTATTATGTAATGACTTTTCTTGTCTCTTGTTATGGTCTTCATTTTGAAGTCTATTTTGTCCAATACGAATACTGCTACCCCAGCTTTTTTTTCATTTCCATTTGCATGGAAAATTTTTTCCATCCCTTCACTCTCATTCTGTGTGTTTTTGTTCTGAGGTGGGTCTCTTGTAGACAGCATATATTTGAGTCATGTTTTCTTATCCATTCAGCCACCCTATGTCTTTTTATTAGAGTGTTTAATCCACTTATATTTAAGGCTATTATTGAAAGATACTTATCTACTGCCATTTTATTTCTGTATGCCTATGTTTCTCATTCTCTCTATTTCTACTTCTAATTATAGCAGTCCCATTAACATTTCCTGTAATTCTGGTTTTGTAGTGATAATGTCCTTTAGCCTTTTTTTGTCTGGGAAGCTCTTTATTTCACCATCTATCTTGAATGATGATCTTGCTGGATAGAGTAGTCTTGGTTTCAGATCCTTGTTTTGCATCACCTTGAATACTTCATGCCATTCCCTTCTGGCCTTTAGAGTTTCTGATGAGAAGTCAGATGACAGCCTTATGGGAGCTCCTTTGTAGGTAACAAATTGCTTTTCTCTCGCTTCCTTTAAGATTCTCTCTTTGTCTTGAATTCTTGGCATTTTAATGATCATGTGTCTGGGCAAAGGCCTCTTTGGATTTTTTGCTTGGGACTCTCTGTGCCTCCCAAACTTGTGTGACCTTTTCTTTGATGAGGTTAGGGAAGTTTTCTGCCATTATTTCATCAAACAGGTTCTCTAACCCTTGCTTACTTTCGACCTCCTCTAGCACTCCAATAACCCGAATATTGTTAGGTTTCACGTTGTCCCACAGCTCCCTTAGACTGTCCTCCTGTTTTTTAATTGTTTTTTCCTACCCTGTGTTCTAATTCACTGATCTGATCTCCAACTTCTTCTAATCTGCTGTTTACTCCTTCCAATGTATTCTTTATTTCTGTTATGTTATTCTTAATTTCCTTCAGTTTCCAGATCTTTTTTCATGCCTTTGAGCATCCTTACAATCAGTATTCCTAACTCTATATCTGATAGATTGCTTATCTCTATTTCATTTAGCTCTTTTTCTGGAGACTTCTCTTGTTCTTTCATTTGGGGCTTGTTTTTTGGTCTCCTCATTTTGGCTGCCTTTTTGGGTTTGTTTCTAAGTATTAGGTAGGTCTGCTAGGACTCTCAGTCTTTTTGGAGGGTCTCTGGTATGACCAATGTCAGATGCAGTTTGTGACTGGCCCTGAGTACCCTGTTTGGAGCTATCAACAACCCTCAGCTTGAGGTCTCCTCTGCTGGGGCTGGGTGCATTTGGACCTGTCTCTTATACACATCTAGATGTGTATAAGAGACAGNGTGCACACCAAAGTCTGCTTTTCCAAGGCCGGGTCCTGAAGCAGATCAGACAAAGACTCAAAGCACTGTGAGGTCTGCCTCTGCCTGCAGGTTGATTAATCTGATTCTCTTAACAAGCCTCAGGCGGTAGAAAGGCCTCTGAGCAGGGTGAGAGGTTTTCCAGCAGGGTGGGGCAATTGCTTCCCCCCTCAGGCAAAAGCCAAAAGTTGTCTGCCAGAGAAAGATGTCCTCCATGGTTTAGAGGAATGACTTGGCACAGGAATCCAGATGGGTACCCTCTGATCTCACTCTCCAGAGCCCACAACCCCAGACTCTCCCCACACAGTTCCAGTCTACTTGCCCCCTGCCAGAGCCCAAGGTGAGTGGCTGCACACGAAACGCTGTGCATTGGCTCTTTAAGAGGGTGCCTGAAGTTCCAGCCGCCTCTCCCTGGAAGACAGAAACCCAGCTGCTTTTCACAGCCAGATGTTATGTGGGCACCTTTCTCAGTTCTGGTGCTTTGGGCTGGGTAGCCCAGCCCCCTCTGGAACTTCGGCTGCTGCCTGTGGGAGCCCGGCCAGCCCTCTTGTGCCCGCAATTCCTACTAGTCTCTATGCAGTCGCCACTTTTCCTCCTTGGTTATGAGGGTGCTCTCCAGCTTATCTTCAGTTGGTTTTCAGGATGGTTTTTCTATGTTTTAGTTGTAAATCCAGATTGGTCCCGGGGGAGTGTCAGCATAGCTTCCACTCAGTCCACTGCCATCTTGGATCTCCCTGGAATGATTTTTCCTTTCCTTGTCACTGTTTATTGTATAGTTGTCATAAGAAAGAAATTTCATAGGGGGGGACGCAGGCATGAACCCTACAAACCTGTTCTCCGAGCCAGTCCCCACAAACCGACAAGCCTGCAAATATCATCGGACCGGCATTTATTTAAACAAACTCTACTGTGGGTTACACGCATGTGAGTTAAAAACTATTGCAAGGAGTATCTTGGAAGCCCAAGCGGCAAATTGGTGAGCACAGGTCAAGCATTTAAAAGCCATTAAGACAGTCACCATCTTAAAAAAAAGAAGATTCCTGTGACAGGATAAATTGGTCATGGAATGAGTTAGATTGCACATCCCCCTTAGGTATTAGTTTGGTCTTTCCAAGAGACCCAAGGTTTAATGAAAGCCATTAATGTGCATGTAATAAAAAACTAGTTTTTCTCTCATCTTGAGAGCACTGGCTTTTGAATCCCTGCCATTCAGAAATGCATGTGTCAGTGTGCACTCGGCAATCCAACTACCTGGGGCTTTAGATTACTCTCTTTTTTATCTTTTAATTCAGCCATGACAGCTCTCAGGGGTTTTTGTCTTTAACATGAGGCTTCACACTCTGAAAGTTCCTTCCTTGGGAACTACAGCTTATATATGTACAAACATTTTGGTTCCTCTTCTATGTCTTTTTAATGAAACGGACCTGCTTAGCCAGAATAATTTAAATAACTTAGCCACTACGGAAAACCTTTATTTAAAGTCCACTTCAAGCCCGTACTCCCTTTAACAGATAGGATTCCAAAATCCTCAGGGTCAATGGAATACATTATTTGGTTGACATGCAGGAACTTCTAAAAGATGGGGGAGGGGGGGGAATAACTAAACATTCAGCTCTAAAAGGATTTGAAAAGAGTTGGCCATCTGAGCAGGTGCTTTAAATTTTCTTACTGTTGCCCTGCCTGGTGTGGCTCAGTTGGTTGGACATCCTCCCGGGCACCAAAAGGTTGCTGGTTCAATTCCTGGTCAAGGAATATGTCTGGGTTGTGGGGCTCCACGCCCAGTGAGGGGCATGCAGGAGGCAGCTGATCGATGTTTCACTCTCACATCGATGTTTCTCTCCCTCTCCCTTCCTTTCTAAAATTAATTTTGAAAAATCTTTAAAAAAAAAATAGGAATTATAGTACATTTTACCATGTTATCCATTTCTCAGGGTTTGGAAAAACAAATAAAACAGAAGTAAGAAACAACAAGAAATGCCGGGAAAAGTGATTCCCACAGTGAAACACTACTCACGTCCAGTCCCACCACCCCTGCATTTACTTCTATTGGGTGACCGGCTTATCACCTGATTACTTCATTCCTCTACATTAACACATATCAAACTGCCCTTAAGACAAAGTCTGACTGGGACAGGTAGAATGAGGGTGAAATTTCAAAGAATTTTTAACATTTGCTTCTCAGTTTTACATTTCCAAGTAGAGGAAGTTCCACTAACTAGCTGAGGCAACCATAGGTAGCAAATGGAAAGGTAGTAAGTAAAGGGTCACTGAGGATTATCAAATCAGGAATGTTTTACCATTTGAAAAGGTAAAGATTAAGAACCAGTCTTTCCTGAAGAATGGGAGGATTTTTAGAATTCTTTTAGCATACCAAGAACCATCTCAGGCTACACTTTCTGGACAACCAGATCATAGTTTCTTCTGTGCTGCAAAGATAATAATTCTTCCCCACTGGGAGTGAGGCCAGGAGATTTGTTGCTTGAGGACAAGATGAGAACATGACACAGCAGAATAAAATATCCATGTGGGACAGAGGACTGTAGGAGACGAAGATATAAGATGAGACACGTGGCCCCTGATCATAAGCCCAGAGAGTGAGATAAACTGGGGGAACACAGAGTACAGGCAAGTGGCATCTGAGGTGCTAGGAAAAGACCCCCAGAACCGACCACCTATACCAGTACCCACCTGCCCGGGGGCCACAGCAAAGTGAACTCTGTAGTACAAGCAGAGGGAAGGTCAAATTTTGGCTAGCCATAGCTACTCTTAGATCCCATGTGTCGCCAAATTCCCACAAAGCCACCCTCAGCCACACTCCTGTGAGGCTGAGCTGAATCAGCAGGCTTCAGCCATGTGCCAAATAAAAGACATGACAGAGGCTCAGGGCAACATAAAGCCAACAAGAGCCAAGGTGAGTCTCCTGAGACAGCCAAGGAGCACCGCCTGTATTGTATGATAAACTGAGAGACCTGAGTTTGGCTTTGTCCCCAAGTTCTACTTTAGCTACAAATACTTAAGGAGCACTAGGAAGACAAGGGTCACTAAGGAACCAAAGGCTGTACAAACACACAGCAATGCTCACCTTTACATTTAAATGCAACCTCAGGGTAGACTGGGGAGAAGAGAGAGGTGAGAGGCTCCAGAAGACCAAGCACTAACTAGAAAAGCTACTAAGACTGATGTACCCAAAGACTAGCGTTCAGTCCTCCATACCCCTGGACCGAGAAGGCGCTTGTTGAAATATCAGAGAGACTTGAAAAATGAATTCTATTTGTCTGCATACCTGAGAGTAAGATATGTACAACCTTGCTACACAGGGCACGCTATTATTTGGCTGGTACCCACCTAGCCTTATCCCTCACCCCCTCCCCTGCCTGCAGGCCCTTGCCATCTAGGCTGCCTCTCACCTCAGGACCTTGACACATGCTGTTTCACTTCCTTCAAGAAACTAATCCTTCAAATTCCAATTACATACCTCTCCTGTGAGGTCCCACGACACCCTACACTTGCATATTCTAGTACATATGTGTGATGTAGACTAGTCTGATCTATTACTCTACTGGGCTAGTCTCAGTGAGGGAAGGGACACTGACCAACATCATCTCCCAGTTACTCCACATGACTCTCTGGGCACACAGTAAACTAAACACTCGAAACTGCTAGTTCAACTACAATGTCTTTGAGAAGAACAAATTGTCATAGCATGCATCTTGTGGGCCCTGGGTCACCCTTGTAGTTTATAAAGTTTATGATCCATGATAATTTTAAGACTGGATCTCAATTTCTCTGACTTAGAGGGAACGAGGAGAGACATTTTACCACTTGTATTAAGGTTCTTTCTAGGTTAAGAAATGGAAATTTATTGCAAGCAAGGTAAAAAAATAGTGCTAAATAAACAAGATAGTAGATAAGAGAGGGTACATAAGTAGTAAAAGAGAAAGGAATCAAATTCACTCAGAGCTTACCTTTGCAATTAATATCAGCAATTACTTCACTCTTTTCCATGGTTTCCAGTAGCTTTCTTAGTTCCTCAGCATTGCCATTTCTGGCATGATGGAGAAGCTGTTGTTCTGCTTCTGTATTCATTTCTACATTAAAAAAACAACAAAATTGCTTTGATCTAAGAACATAATTAGCTTTCAGATACTACCTACTAATACGAAAAGGGAAAAGGCCCCTGGCCATTATGGCTCAGTTGGTTGGAGTGTCATCCCATACACCAAAAAGTCTCGGGTTCGATTCCCGGTCAGCGCACATACCCAGGTTGTGGGTTTGATCCCCAGTTGGGGTGCACGCAGGAGGCAACTGACCGATGTTTCTCTCTCACATCAATGTCTCTCTCTCCTTCTCCATTCTTCTCTAAAACCAGGGGGAACATAACCTCAGGTGAGGATTTAAAAAAAAAAGGGGAAAGAATCATCTTTATTTTGCAGCTAGACACAACTAATTAAATAAATCAGTTGCAGGGCCAGAACTTGTTCCTGACAGCTTGCCCCCTGTATTATTATTGAAGAAGTGCATTAGACATTTGGGCATGTTTCTCAATCTTTCAAAGCCTGTTTCCTCATGTGCAAAACACAACCAATTTCATGACCTGTTATAAGATTATGTCTATAAAAGCATTCTGTCAAATACAGGTATCTTGCAAATAGTTTTTATTACAACAATAACTAGACATAAAGTAAAAATACAGTCATTCAAGTAAAAATACTAAAGACTGAAATGTAAACTAACACATTCAAACCTTTGCAAGAAAACATTCTGAATAGAAAAAGTAAATGGACCTTGAAGTGGCTATTACAAATAAATTTTTTCTGTTTCATATTTTCTTACAAACTCCAGAACAAATATAGAGGAATACAAAGAAATATAGAGCATTTATGTCAAAATGTTATGAATAGCACCGTAGCCGGTTTTGCTCAATGGTTAGAGCATCAGCCCACAAACTGAAGGGTCTTAGGTTCAATTCCAGCCAAGGGCAAGTACCTCGGTTGAAGGCTCAGTCCCCAGCCCTGGTCCGGGTGGGTGCAGGAAGCAACCAACCAATGTGTCTCTCTCACATCGATGTTTCTCTCTCTCTCTCTCCCCGTCCCCTTCCACTCTCTCCGAAAAGCAATGAGAAAAATATATACTCGGGTAAGGATTAAAAAAAAAATGTTATGATTAGCAATTCCCAAAAGAAATACAAATTCATTCTTACTAATAATCAAATAAATACCAAAAAAAAATCAAACACAAATGATATATTTTTACCTATCGGATTACCAAAAAAATAAGATTAAACACAATGCTTGCATGGGCAAGAAATGTGTAGTGTATTCTAATAAACTGCTCCTATAAATGTAAATGCATATGTTACAGGGAGAGAGAACTATTTGACAATATTTTTAAAATTTCATAATACATACTAGAAGCTTTTTTAAATAATATTATGCTTGGGTTCTCACCACATTGGGTTCACAGAAAGAAATAATAATAATAATAATGGACACTCTGAACACTGGCCCTGCTTTTAGCTTTACTGTACCCCCAGCTGCATATTTTCTAGGACTGCTTTAAGGGACATGGGACATTGCAAACAGAGAAATATAATTCCATGCAATGCCTAGCCTAGCTTTTACCCATTCTTGGTTTGTCTGGGCTTTGTGCTAATCCCATTCCTTAAAGTATCTTCAGGAATACTAGAAGTTTTTTTAATATTATCATCCTTGGGTTCTCACCACATTGGGTTCACAGAAAGAAAAAAAGAAAAAAAAAAGGTTAAAAATCTACCATCTAACTTAAATACTCCATTATAATATATTAGCCACAACACAACAGTTGCTCATGAATGCTGGGATTGGGGTTTAAATTTATTCAACAAGCGTTTCTGCCCTGGCCAGGTAGCTCTCAGTTGGCTAGAGTGTCATCCCAATATGCCAAGGTTGCGGGTTCAATCCCTAGTCAGGGAATATATAAGAATCAATCAATGAATGCGTAAATAAGTGGAACAACAAATCAGCGTTTCAATGTCTCTCTCTCCCTCTTCCTCTCTCACTCTAAAATTAATAAAAAACAAATGTTTCTTGAGTACCCACCAATGACATGGTCTGCTATAGGTACCGGAGGTACAATGATGCACGGTACAGTCTCTGCCCCCACCCAGAAACAGGGCAAACATGCAAACAACAATCATACCAACATGTGCCAAGTACAGTAATATACAAGGGACAGTGCTGTGTAGAGAAAGGGCGTCCTTAGCTCGTTCCCTTAGTTACAGAATCACAGAGAGGGAAACTGAAGCATGAGGAGCTCACCAAGACCACCAGGGTCAACAAGGTTTCTAACCTGGACGCCTGTTAGAAAACAAACAATCCTGCACGAAAAAGTGATTCCATTTGGGCTGGGGTAAGTTTGAGGTTTCCGTGGGAAACGGAGAGGGAGCTATCCCACAAGCATTTAGCTAACACCAGCCGGAGCAGAAGAAAGCTGTCCTGGGCTAGAAACCAAAAGGTGAGAGTTATCAGCATATTAATGATTGGTCAGGCCATAGGGGTAAAAACCCCTTCCTGGGAGAAGATTAACATTTAAGGGGAAGGAGGCCAGTGAGTAAGATCTGGCAGAAAGGACTAAGTGTAGAAAGAGGGAACAGAAGCGGGCAGTAGTGGTGAAACCAAGAGTGTTTCGAGGGCGTCCGATGGCTGTGAAATACCTAAGAGGGGGCAAGAATAAGACCTACAAATGCCAATCAATTTGGCAAGTAGGAAGCCACTGATGTACTCAAGAATTTTTTCAGTGGAGACGAGAGAGAAAAAAAGATTTGGGTAAACTGGGGAGTGAAAATGAGTAGCAGGGAGAGAGTAGACCAGGTTCCTTTAAAGCACCTTGGTTCTGAAGAGCTGGTGATCGCTTCAGTTTTGGAAATTAGGTACCTGGGCATGTTTATAGCTGTGGAGCAAGAGCCAGGAGAGAGGAAATGCTTGAAATACAGGAAAAAGGATGGATGAGGGAGGGATGGGACAAGGTCCCAGAGGTGGATGAAAAGCCCACAGTGGCTGCCATTTTCCTAAGAAAAGAACCAGATTCTTAGGTACCTTAACAGAAGAGCAGACTCAGCGTAAGACAGGATGGGGGTGGGGGTAATAGATAAATAAAATACAGATTGTTTTATTTTTAAAATAAGAGGGGAAGAAGGCCAGTTAAACTTCGCCAAGACAGAAAAATAAAACTCCTGTTGCTCTATGCCTAAATCCCATATGTATCCATTTAACACAGGCACCTGTTTGATTACAAAATCTTCTTGAAGCAATTTGGATATTCTCTCCTTTTCAAAGCAATTTAACACCTTATCCAAGTAGTTAGTCTACCTGCAGAACTGAGCCAACTCTATAAAGGTTTGCCAACTGTAAAACTTGGGACTTATTCAAACAAGCAATATCTTGAGGGTAAATTGCAAATATGCAAACAGGCATTTTCAATGCTTTTCCTTTATCAACTTCAATTACTTTAGGAAGGGGGGGGAGACTGACACTTTTCCCTTTTCTCCTTAGAAACAAGTTTATAAAATCATATATGAATTTAAAACATAGTTCCATAAACAAATCATCTTTTTGAAGCAGAAAACAGTAAAAATACATTTTTATAGCAGAATAATTTCCCAGTGCCTCAAACACCATCAAAACAACACAACTCCAAAAATACCTGTAATTTAAAAACCAAGTAAACATCCTAAAATGATACCAGTAGAATAAAATGATATTTATGTTCCTTTCAGCTATGCTACAAAGAAATTAATAAGAAAATGTTCTGAATCAAGGCATAAAAACATTCATCATAGTTTCTTTCTTCATCAAAGAAACGTCATAACTAAAGATTCCCTGTCTGTGTGTAACAGGCAGTTAAACATGAGCAGAGCAAGGACAATGGGCCAGGCACAGAAACTCACCAGGGCAGAAAGCCTCAGGTACCTAGCAATGGGGCAAAACTGGGGAAACAAGGACCTTTCCCCCAGGGTAACCTTTCCTCCCCTAGTTTATTTCTTTGGAACCCCTGATCTTTCATTTCACTGGTCATGAGGTTTAGACCCCCTGGCTTTTCTTCCCTAAAAAATAACATCTAGGCCTCATCTGCATTTCAGCTCCAGGCCCAGAAAAGCAGCAAAACCGGACAAGTGACACCATGACTTCTCCTCAGGACCAGCTCCAATGACTAACAACCCCAGCCCTGGCTCCACCTCTCTAGGAACACACCAAGCTTCCCTTCTCACACCCCACCCCACCCAGCCACCCTCTGCCCCCATGTTACCATTACCTTCCTCACTCCCAAGTTCTAAGGGCCCTTCTTTCGCCTTTACGACTTGTTTCCTGGGCCCATTTCTTCTACCATTCATTTTTTCTACCTCTGTGACTTTCTAAATAAATGTTCTCTTATATTTTGAGTCCTGGCTCTGAATTCTTTCCTAGCCAGAACTCAAGTACTGCTGTTGCTGAACCAAGGTCCAGTCTGACCCCACCTGTCTTCCCCAGATAGAGAGCATGCCTATGTCATTTCATTTGAAGTCACAGAACCTATCCATGACGTTGACCTGGTAGTGACAGGCAAACTGCAGCTTCTTGTGGCTGTCACACTGGACACCTTCCCAGCTCATGCGGGCTACCTAGATACCCACCTAAGAAATAAGGTTTTAGCCCGGCTGGGCGTGGCTCAGCGGTTGAGCGATGACCTGGGATCCAGGCGATCGGGGTTCGATTCCTGGTCAGGGCACATGCCCGGGTTGCGGGCTTGATCAATGACTCTCTCATCATTGATGTTTCTATCTCTCTCTCTCCCTCTCCTTTCCTCTCTCTGAAATCAATAAAGATATATTTTTAAAAAAAGAAATAAGGTTTTAGATACTAGCAGATATTGTAAGTATTCAGGCCTGCATATGTTGGCAGAGAGAATGNCGGGCATGGCTCAGCGGTTGAGCGATGACCTGGGATCCAGGCGATTGGGGTTCGATTCCTGGTCAGGGCACATGCCCGGGTTGCGGGCTTGATCAATGACTCTCTCATCATTGATGTTTCTATCTCTCTCTCTCCCTCTCCTTTCCTCTCTCTGAAATCAATAA